AGCTTTCCTGCTGTATTGTCGGCTCGATTGGGGTTGTTCCAGAATAGGACTTTTGCACCAAACGGAATGGCCATGCCTTCGAACATTTCTCCAAAACGCAGTTCCCATGGGCTTGGAGATGAATCCAGCTGATCACTCGTGTTTGTTGCCATTGCAAAATGTTGAATGGCGAGTGGCCAGTACTGGAGGGGCATTCCGGACTGAACAAGATTGGTGCGTGCTCCCTCAAGCATGTTCCTAACTTCCCTTTCAATGAAGCTCTTGGAGGAGTCCACGTACTCAACGGAGGTTTGGTGGCGATACCCTAACTCCTTGATGCCAGCTATCAGCTCACGGGAATTGTCGGTGTAAATGACCTCGACTGCATCATCCGGGGCAACAAAATGCTGAAGAGCAATCACTACCTCATCCGAACTCTTTGACTGGGATGGGTAAATACTCCGGAACTTTGTATGCAGGTCTTTCACAACCAAAGCTACCCGTTCACCACGATTCCCTTCTTCGATGTTCGCGCGCACGACGACGTGGTCGGCGATCAGATGATCACCAAAGGCCTTAGTCTGAATGCGGCTCTCACCCCCTTTCTTTCGTGCCTGTGGTGCAAGCATCCTTGCTCGCTGGCACACTTTGCAGAATGGGTTCTTGGGGAAGTGGTGATACTGGTGTTTTGCGGACTGTGCTTCACGCATCAAGTCTCCAACTTTTCTTGATCGCACCAAACGGCTCTCTTCGTCGTCTGGCACTTCCTCGTCGATGCCCTCATCCTCTTTCTTATCCGACGGGCTCGAGATTGCTCCCGGCATGGCAAACAGCTTCTTCAGAGGCTTGTCCTTCTTGAACTTGCCCTTTCCAAAGACTTTGCACTCGGAGTCGAGGACTGGGACATGACCATCAACACGAAGTTGAACGATTTTCTCATCTGGTCGCACAAGGATCGGGGTACCGTTTGCTGGCCACACGAAACTATACCCTTGGTCAAGGCATTTGATGCCAACTGAGAGCACAGCAGGGCATTCATCCAGCAAATACGGCGTGCAAGGCTCCAGTAGCTGCTTCATCTTGACGTCAGCTACCTCACTGGCTTCAGTCGACCCATTCGCAGTAATGAGACTGATGGTGTGAGGAGCCCGTCTTGGGTTCTCCGCACCAGCAGCATCCATAACTTTCCTGCTGAGGAGATCTTGCTCACTCCCAGAATCGACAAGCCATGAGAACCTGCCTTCCCTTGGTGCTGGACCAGCAACAATAGTCGGGATGGTAGTAGGACATGTCTTCAACTTGATCAAGCTTCGGCACTCACGACAAGTAAGCGACGATTCGGTGCACAGAAAACGACATGAGGGCACTGTTGCGCTATCAAAGCTTCGAACAACTTCAGCCAACTGCCTAGCTTTTACTTTGGCCATGTGGGCTGCCTTTGGGTCGCTCTTGGGCACGCGATCGCTCGTGGCAAAATGCACACTGTATTTGCGCTCACGCTTGACCATCTTGCAATGTTCCCCGCGAGCAGGGATGGTGCGAATTTCAGGTTTCATAACGAATGTAGTTCTTCGGACAGACGACTTAGACCTCTTTCTCGCTGGAGGAAGACAGGACTTCTTGAGACATGACTGTCCGGGCACACCGGTCGCAAGACATGCAAACCGATTGCTCAGGCAAATGGCAGCCTTCTTGGTATCTCCTTTTGCCTTTGGCTTTGGGGAGTCCTTTCTTGGCTTCGTTTTCGGAGCTGGTGCTGCCTTTTCTCCATGTTTGAAAAAGCACTTGTCTCCTCTTCTGCATGTACCTTGTTGATCGTACCTGCATGGGGTCTTCGCCATCTCTTCCTTAGTCATCCGCTTCTTTTCCTTGTCTGTGCTTTTGTCCCTCGACTCATTCCGCTCCCGGGATGGTTGGCGCTTCTTGGAAGGATCACGCTTGGGCTTTTCATGCTTGAACTTGCAATCTTTCCCTTTTGCACACTTTCCCTCCAAAAAGGCCCAACAAATGCCCTTCTCCCGAGAAGCGGATCGTCCGCGCGATGGCGAACGCTTTCGCCGAGGATCAACAGTAGGGGCTGCGTTCTTCTCGTGTCGATCACCTGGCTTGAGCCGATTTCGCTCCGCGATACGTGATCGATTCTCACGAAGGCGTTCCCGATCGATCAGATCCTTGATGCTTTGCAGTAGGAACTTGTAAGACCGATGGTGGTCACCTTCTTTTGCACGATCGAAGAGATCAATGTCGTACCTCAGGATTGCGCTAGTGCGGATCTGCCTTAAAAGGATGTCTCGAAGCACGTTTTCATGCGGTGGTTCGGGCATACCAGCGATGGTAGCGTCCCAGCGGTTGATGAAACGCTTCAAGTCCGCTACCGTATCGCCTACCTTTACCACATTGAGGAGATCTTCAACCCTATAGAGGCTACCCGCTTCTTCCGAGGTCTTGAAATAGTCATCGAACATGAGAAGAATCATCCTTCCTCGAACCTGGATGCCTAGCTTTGCCTTCTCTTCTTTGTAATTGATGATTCGGATTGCTAGATCACCCTTTGCACTTCTGGTCAGCGCAGCTGCCAACTTAGTATCCAACGTTGTGAACTTCCCAGGGTTAGACAACCGCTCTTCCAGAACTTTCCTCTCATCAACAGTGTTGTAAACCTCCATTAACCAGTCCCAGGCAGCATCTGGTTTGTCAGAACATGACTTGATTTCGTCCCTCACATGATGTTTCCACTGCCGATAGGTTTCAGGGGTTGGCATGTCATTCAACTTGATATGATCTGCCTCCTTTACCTTTGGCTTCTCATCTGACTCTCTTTGAGTGAGTGACTTGACCAATTCAATCACCTGCTCAGAGGTGATGGCACCTGATGACGCTGGCTTATGGGGTTCGCGAATTGAAGGTGCAGGGCTATGGAACAAATTTGTCGGTGTTTTGCCCCCATCCGCTGCTGTGCCTCCGTAAACTGGAAGCACGGGCTTGATAGGAGCAGCTGCCCCTGGTGGGGCATCACCGATGATGGTGGCCGTCGGCGCTTTGGGTGCGAACAGTCCACTCAAACGTGCAGTAGCCTCTGCTGCAATGGTCTCCAGAGGATTTTTCCTCTTTGTGTCATCATGCCTAGGGGTAGACACTGGTGTGTTCATGACACTTGTTGGATGGTACTCTAGCTCGGGTCCAGCATGCATTTTGGCTTTAAGGTCATCGAGCATTTGCTGCAGGCTATAGTTTTCATTTTCTGCGTCGCGTAGCTCACGTCGAAGCTGAGTTTCCCGCTCATCGAACTCTGCACGAAGCGTTGCCACACCTTGCTCAGCACCGCTGGTGATGGCAGTGACAGTTTGCTGACAATCGTGCATGAGCTGAATGCGCAAGGAGTCCAGTTCTGCTTTTCTGGCTTCAGCTTCAATGGACCTTTCACTCTCTAGCTTAAGGATTCGTGCTTTTGCAGCACTTAGTTCCCCTTGCACTTGGTTGTAGCTAGATTGAGCTTGTTGCCTTACTGAACTAAGTTCCTCATGATGCTTGCTCGCTACTTCATCGATCGCTTGACGAAACTTGGTTTTTACCATGTCCAGCCATTGTCCCATTATCTCTTTGTGTCTTCTCTCTGCCTCAGCAATGATAGCGTCTTCGTTTCCGTTGTACACTTGTTGAATGTTTTGTTGCACAAACTGAAAGTAAGCTGTGACAGGAGCTGAACCCATGGGGTCATCTAGATCCACCGTGGGCTCAGTCATGAGACCGGCTGGGACTGCTACCGATGATGTACCGTTCCCAGGAATAGCAAGAGCGTCCATGGCTGTGGTTAGAGCACTACGGCTGATAACCTATAGAAACAGCCGTTAAGCTGCAACTCCTGTTTTGGGCCGCGAGCTGCAAAGTCAAGTTAACATGACATCCTACTATGTGCAAGGTACAAAGTGTACATATTACATGGAGTGAAAATACACCTTCCGTTCCGGATCCCGGATCCCGGCCCAGCTGAGACGGACTGGTTCGGACGAGACCCTTGGTCTGACAGCGCTCGAGCGCTGCATGTGGACGATCCAATAGCCAAACACTGAAGTCATTCTCTGCAGACCAGCAGAGGTTGAGGAACCCGACTGTTCGACTATCCTAGTTCGGTACCCCAAGTCTTCCGGGTCCGAACGTTCAGGTCACAAACCACCTCTGCTGGGAAAACCATCTGAAACAAACACAGCTGGCCAGCTTCTTCAGGACTCGTGACCGAACGAACTGGGGTCCCATCCCGTGACCGGTTTTTTCCAGGCCGAAGTGACCGAACCAACCAGGGGATCAAGTTCGGTCACGAAGAACCAGGTTCTCTATAAATGTGTAAGCTTTTTGTGCCAATTGGATGTCGATATATATATATATATATTGCACTCACTTAACTTCTTTTTCGGCCAGCTGTCTGAAGGTTTCAAATGTTGGCAGGAGTCATTTCGTGCAATTCATCTCACTTGCGGAAGAATACATATACATATATTTCTTTATCGCCCACGGCGGCTGAATGATGGTGGTGATGACTCATCACGGATTTCGACGACGACGGCAACCAGTGACTCGCGACGACGAGTCAAAGCAGAATGACCTTAGCCCTGAACCTTCTGGGACTTGCCTCATGAATTACCCCACCCTGGCAGTTCAAACAAAAGACACAATTCCACGAACTACCTGCTTGGGGCAAAATGAGTCATGACTGGACTCTCTGGGTGGGCTTTGGACAATCCATCTGTGTCCAAATTGCTTCAAATAGCTTTAGCTATTTCACTTGGAACATATAAGTGAGTCAGTGAGTCTCAGTGAGTGCCGGCTTGAAAGATAGACCCCCATCACTGTACCAATTCCCATTCTAATCAATCTAATCTGCCAACTCCATTCTCTGTCCCACAACCCCCAAGCCACCTCAACAAACATCCATAGCTCATAGCCATTCTCCAACTGAAATTCCCCCCTTCTCCAGACTGAAACCCATTCTTCAAGATGAAGCTCACTCACTTTCGCCACGTCACGAGGGGCGCCAGTTGCAGGCCCGAGACCAGCAGCGCGAAGGTCCAGCCATAGGGCCGGTGCCGGCGCAGGGCGCAGCGGTGCCGCTGGAGCGTTAAGGTGGAGAGCAGGGTCGAAGTGATCACACCCAAGGCGAAGAGCCAGAACTGTGGAAGTCCTGGGAGCGAAGGCCCTGCCAATCATGATGGCCCATTCAATGGCCACTTCGGAATTGTTCCGTGAAATCCTCCGGATCAACCCCCAGATCAGCTTCACCTCTCCCTCTTCTTACCTCTCCGCCCGCAGTTTCGAACGACCGCGACGACGAGGTGGACCGCGCAACGACGCGCCGAGTTGCGGAAGAGGTCGACCCAGGTTGGTGAGATCTCCAAGAGCCGCAGCCAAACGATCCAAACATCGAAGACGCGCTGCGCCGACAGCAGCGACCTGGACGGGCAGGCAGGGCATGGGAGGGAGCACTGGAGGGAGCCAAGTGCAGTGGTGGATGACATTGCTGAGGACCAAACATCACCAAACTATCCCTCCGTAAGGATCATGGGACCAAACTGGAGGCTTTTGACCAGTTTGGTCCCGCAGGGGGCGAACCAAAACAAACCGAACCAAAACTGAACCACGGAACGGGTCGGGTCCTTTTTTCTGGGCTACAGATTTGATCACTGCTGTTGCCTACTAGTCTGCCACTGAGTTCAGCTAGGGGTATATATATGAAGTCCATGTCACGCAACATCGAACGAAACTCAGTCATCATCATCGTCGTCATACCCAAAAGACGTACAAAGCCCTCCAGCCAGCTCTCCCTCTCTTCCCCACATGCCCACAAACAAACCCTTCTTGCGAAAAGAAAAAAACACTAAAAAAACACATAAAAAAACAACATAAAAAAAGAAACAGATCCAAGGCGCCCCTTGATGGTCAATCCCAACACACGTTGCAGCGAAGACCGCGCGGTCTCACGTCCGCCCTCGCCCGCGGCGGGCGGAAAGGGGGACTCGCTCGAGGGCGAGAGGGGCCACGGCGAGGCTGCGGAGGAGGCGAAGTCGCCGGAGTCGACGATGGGCATGAGAAATCGGTGGGTTGACTTGGTGACTTGGTGTGTGAACTGACCAAGTCACATGTAAAAACATGTCACATGACATGAAAACACTCTTAAATCTATATATTACATGTTCCATCAGATATATGTGCACATCATGCATATCCATATCTTGACTTGAACTCTTCAAAAGATCGGACGGATGTTGTTGTTTTGTTTTCAAATGCCCGTTGATGGGTTTCTGGATCAGCCCCCCCTTGTTGCCTGAAGAATGGCCTAGGACACTGACTTGATTCTGAGGGAAGCAGTCCATCCTTCTCAGTGGAACGCTGGAGCCATGCAAAGAAGAGATGCAAAGAAGAAGAAGATGCAAAGAAGACGATGTCACCCAAACCATCTGTGGGAGTGGTTTAAATATATTTAAATACATCAACCACCTCCCTAAGGATCCTTGGACCCTCCTCAGAAGGGGTCGAACCCTCTAGTTCACAAGGGTGACAGGGGCCCCTCATGTACTCGAACCAAACCCTTTTTTTGTTTCGGGTGCGGATCCTTAGGGTTGAACATGAACTCTTCCTGGGTCCTTGATCTCAATCTCAGCGGTGATTCAGGTGACAGAACAAGAGAGATAGAGGGAGAGAGTGAGGCTCATTGGATCATGAGATACGCACTCCCTGGAATAATATAATGGATGGAAGTGGAAAACCTTTTGTTCGGAGAGGCAAGGAGAGGAAAATGGTCATCCACCGATAGTGAGTACAGTTGTCGGGCCTTTTGTGTGACAAATTAAGTCATTTAACTCTTTCAGGTTTTTTACACCTTCTTAGTGGCAAACAGCGGGGGTGCTTGTTCTCTGAGTCAATCAGTCACTCCTTACTCCTTTCCGAAAACTGGTCATATCTTTTTAATTCTTGTTAAAATGGTATGAATGGTGTCAGGGATCAATGAACCCAAATCAGCTTGGATTTTTCGCGGCGGAGACTCCAAGCCAGTTCCCTTCAAACCGACCCTGGGCACGTGCTACATGGAAAACCATGTTTCCTGAGCTTCGCTGTCCAAATCCACACCAAAACCATCACACCACGCACCTATACATTCACGAACTGCCTGTGAATGATACCTGCCCAACCAGTGCTGTTTACAGCGCCCCACAAAAAATGAACTTGGAGATCCATGACCTCCATCCATTCGAAGAAACCGACGGCACCATGGGAACCCGCCTCCTATAAGCTCGCCTCCCGTGGGAGACCCGCGTTGGGGCCAGGGTGGGGCCGTAATCCGAACCAAAGCCCTTGGGTTGGTTTCGGGTGCGGAATCCTTCCCTAGCGATCCAGTCGTACAGAACCTGCAGGTACGGTGAGGAAGAAGACTATTTATGTAGGCGCCAGGAGGGCCCAGTCGTACCTCCTGAGGTTCCGTACGACTGGATCCTTTAGGGCTTAGGGCATATCTCGGCGTCGCCCGGCTTCGCCCGGCTGTTCGCATCTCCACCTCTTCAACAACGACCCGCTCGGTCCGCGGAACGCCACTGGAACGAGAGCTTCTCGTGGATCAGGCGTGCGGCTTGCACCGCCGTGGCCTAGTTCGAACGTCGGGTGAGCCAGGGTTGTGCGGAATGGAGGTCTGAACCCTTTTGGCCTCCAGTCGTACCGAACCTGAGGTACGGTGGGACGACCAAGGTCCGGGTGCGAGGGTCGAAGACCACCGAACCCGAGGAGGTACGACTGGAGATCTTGGGAGGTGATAGGGGAATGGTCCGTATCCCGACTTGATGCGACTGCCATGTCGGACTGCCGAGAAACGGCCAGGGGTGGGGGGTTTGTTGTGCGGAGTGGAAGGAGCCGCGTGCTGAACGGGAAGCGAAACGAAATGATGATGAAGCGAACTAGAGGGGCACCTGCGTGCATTCATTGGATCATGCTTCTTAACGCTTCATCCAGCCATTTTTGGTCTAGCCAGACTAATAGTCAGTAGCCCAGGTGGATATAAACAACGTCAATCCCAAGAAACACGTGTTATCCACTGATTGGGTAGGCCAACACATCTGCAAGCCCACGTGAACAGAAACAGAACCGAGGCCAACCCCTGCATGCTACGTCCCAAGACATCAACCCCTCCCAGACGCTCCAAACAGCTCTTGGTACCTCAAAACCTTAGGGATTTGAGACCCCAGACCCCTGACCCGAGGATTCGGGTCCGACCCCTCCAAAGGATTCGGGCCCATCTGCCAGTCCCTTTTCCGGAGTGTCCGCCCAACCGTGACCCGGTCCCGAAGACGAGGGCTCGGACCCCGGTCTTCTGGACTGGTCTGGGGGTCTGGGGTTCGACTCCGGTTTGCTTCGGAACCGTCCTCGGCGCGTCGGAGCGGCTGGGCAGTCATGGAGCGTCTGGGCAGTCCCTTTTGCGGAGTGTCCGGGAGATGAACCAAACCCACAAAAACCCAAGGCGCCCAAATGTGTGGCGCCATCGCATGGCAGCTCTCGGCGCGCTGCTTGCGACCTGGACTGCCGCGGTCAGGCACAGTCAGATCTGTTCTCAAGCCTCTATTTCAAATGAAGTCGGGTGCCTCCCCAAATACCCAAGACTCCATGTATATAAGGCATACATTGACCATCATTGACCCCTTTTCAACCACCTCAATGTATAAATATGCCAGTCGCATTAATCGTGTCTGGGTTCTTCATTGATCGGTTGAAGCAGGGGGGCCGGCTTTGCCACGCTTCTGCTTGCATTGCGTTGCTCTGCCGACCTGACCTGCCCCAACATCCGCTCGCTACGCAGTCTGATGTCGTCCCAGATGATGATGTTGTTCAAAGGAATGAGAAACTATCCCAAGAGATCCCAAGTCCATTTAGTGTTCTTCTTCATCTGAAACATCCCATCACCCACTCCCTCGCTCCCGTCTTCGATCCCACTTTCAGACTTCTGATGCAAATCCTGGTGCAAACCGACCGACCGGTCGTGGCACGAGCCGCTGCGGAGCGGACGGAAGTGGGCGGACGCGAGGGACAGCGGGAAAGGTATGGTGCCGACGACAGACGTGCACGACCTGTAGACATGGCAGCTGATGTCAGGTCAACTGCCATCTGGGACCAGGGGTGGTGCCAGGGGTTCAAGGTCACATATGGCAGTCCCAGACAGGTCGTGTTTGGGTAGACCATGGTAGACCGAAACGCTTTAGACTGCCGACTGCAGCTAGTCCACAGTAGGGGCCTCCTGCAACTTCCATGAGGCCAAAGGCAAGCCAAAACGCCCATAGTTCTACGTGTACCCCAAACACTCCCATGGGACCGCCCATGCGAAAAACCCGGTCACAACGATGACCCAAGGGTGGCAAGAAGCGCCTCAGGCGGTCCGCATGGGATCCGATGTCGCTGGTGATCCGCTCCCAATTCCGCCCTCGATTTCTCCCTACCAAGAGAGGTATCCAGCGACCCGAACTAGGACCCTACCGGGGTACCGAACTGGGATAGTCGGATAGTCTATAGGGTCATTCAACTTCCGCACTCCCTCACTGACGCCCAGCACCAACAGAGGTAAGTATCCAGTGACCTGAACGTTCGGACCCGTCACCTGGGGTACCGAACTGGGATAGTCGAACAGTCGGGTTCTGACCCACCTCTGGCGGCCCAGCCAAACCCTGTGCCCCCTGGTCGGTCCAGGACGAAGGCTGCTCCCGTCTCCACCTCTTTGAAGCCAGCGCCTCAGCACCACATTCGTCCGAAAAGGCCCACGGGCAGTGAGATGTTCTCAGCCTGAAGCCTGGAACTCTGAAGGTCCATGCCTGGAACTCTGAAGGTCCATCATAAAAAACATGTACCAGCACCCGACTCTACAGGTCTCCGATGGCTGGAGGGTTGGGAAAGGCCCTAACAGGTTTCAATTGGTGACCTGTTGGAGGGTGCTGGTATTTAAAACATGCTTGACCAAAACCACGTGGTAGAAACAGCAAGGTGCTCTCCAAAACAGAAAGGCGCTCGCTTCTTCTTCTGGCGTGGAGCCCAAGTGTTCAGGAATGCATGTTTGGATGTTGGTAGAGCAAGCAAATTCGCAGGTAGATGTGCATGATAGGCGGAAGGGACACACTTGAGAACACTGTAGGAACCCAAGGCGCGTGTGGGCCAGTCTCAAAATCACCTCCGCTTTCAGGGTCCCTTGATGTCCCTGGGACATTCGGGACATTAATCCATCCATCCCGGCGGACTGTCGAAATCATGAGACATCCACCCCATGACGTCTACGGATTCTGTATCATCATGACGGCCTAGGTCTAGCAGCCTAGGGGCTCAGGTCTTGCATGATCTTGGTGGCAGTGTTCATGGCCTCGCACGAACCAATCCACGAACCCGGCGGCGGACTCGAAGTTCGACACGTGGGGGAGAGCATGAAAAAGCCCATGGGCTGTTGGGGAGCATTGTACTATATGATTTTGAAGCGGTTGACGCGATTTCCTCACAAGGATACTGTATCATTCGTGCATGAATGACAAACACATATGTGCCCTTACCTTCTGCTTGTCAGCTGCCACCCCACCCGGTGGTCAGCTCTCTCAAGCAACAAAGCCATGGATCCGGCGAACAGCTTCATCTTCCCTTGCTGGCAACTGGACTGTGCCAAAAACACACATCAAACACCATCCCAACCGCCTGGGATTTGCTGAAGGAACCTGGAAACATATTTAAAAACAACATAAAATAACATATATATTCCCAGGTTTGGGGATTCACCGATGTTCGGGCAAAGAACACATCACCTTTAGGGAAAACAAGGCCGCTTAATGGGGTGGCTGATTTGCCCAGCCACGCCTGGTGCAAGAAAACAAACCCACGTGCAAATGATTGGGACCTTGGATCTCAATCATGAGCACGCGATTTATACTCCTGGCGTTCGCATGAAAACAGGGTAGACACACCACCGTTCCCATGTTTCACCGTTGCCTGCTTCACCGCAAAGGGCTCCTCCGCCTTCATCGCCGCGATCCAGGCCTTGTGTTCGAAGGCAGCAGTCGGACATCCCATCGATATGGATCTAAGACTGGATCTAAGCATCTATAGTCCCTAGGGCTCCTGTCCCATATCCTCAGGTTTGGTGGGCTCTGACCCCCATCTGTCGACAAACATCTTGGGGTGCCAGTATCCACACACCTTCTGAAGGGCGTACCATTGATGTCGCTTTGGTCCAAGTACGTGAGAACGGTGGCGGATGCCCAAAAGCCCTCGAAAAAGGGGTACCCTAGGCTTCCAAGACCATGATTTCAGAAAGGTTGATCTGGCTTTGTATTGTCAAAACCTTAGTAAAACAATGGTGCTGCAGGATTCGGCCTCTTCAATCAATGGGATCCGGATTTAAATAGGGTACAAGCTACGTCGCTCCAAGGAACATCTTCACATCGAATTGGGTTGTACCGAGGATGGTGTTGTGGGTCCAAAGGAATCTCGGCAGGGCTTGTGGTGCCCGAGGCCGGCACTCGAACCACAAGCCATACCGGAAGAATCCATGAAGAATCCATGATAGATGGAAGATTTGCCTAAATTGGGATGATCATCATATGTTTTAAGGGTTCTGTAACGTCCTGTATACGTAAAAATTCTGATTAGTACTAGTGTAGTTGGGGGTAGTCACGTGATCGTCCGACCACATCATGGGCCATCTTCCCTTGGATGTGTGCAGTACTACATGCATCGAGCACGCCAAGAGAAGAGCGTGCAATACTACGTGCAGTCAGTACTACGTGGCGTCCAACCCCAACTGACTCCTTCAGAAGGAGTCAGTTGATTCAGTCCTTCAGCCTCCCTAGAGAAAAGAAGGGTTCACCTCTTTCTACCCCATTCACCTGTCCCAGCATCCATGAAGCTGCTATACACCGGTGACTGGTTTCGTGGGGGGACCGGTTCTACCCCAAAAACGGAGTGTGAAAGAAATTTATCCACTTTTCAATAACCGGTTATTAGATAAAAAGGTTCACCAGAAGCCAAGAACGGTGCTTAGATCCACTTCAGAAAGACTTGCACAATGCTACGACTCATTGCTGGCCACCCAATGTTGTTGGCTCAGCAAACAGGCGTCTGGGTCCTTTTTTACTAATATCATGCTGCCATGTGGAGGCCGCCGTGACCCACGCTCTCTCGCCAGGGCTGCCAGGCCGACTTGGACCTCTCCTGAAAGGTGTCCTTGGTGCGCATAACAAAAGGCGTTCTGCTGAACCCTGCCAGAAGCAAAGGGCTTTATACGTAGATTAACATGATGTTTGTTGACCCCAACTTGGCTCTACCAATGAGACATCGTTCACCAGCAAATATGTCCAGATTCATGCGCGTGGAAGTAAATAACATAACTTCCCACACTTGATTCTGCAAGGCAGGATATAATAGAGACTGCAGCATGCGCAGCTGTGTCTCCGCTTTTTGTTTTTGTGTTTTTTTAAAGCATCTTTTAGACATCCCAAGCCCCAGTTTCACAGGTCACACAAATGTCCCAAAGACCGCTGGTCAAAGAAACGCTGTTCACCGTTTCACATGCTATAAATGGAGTGCAAACACGAGCAAGCAAGGATGCAAACACTCGGCAACTGGCAAGACGGTAGCACTTGAAAAAAACACTGACTCCCTCAGTTTCCCTGGAAGATAAAGGTCAATTTCCCAAACGCTCCATGTATGCTATATATGCCGGCATGCCATTGACCCCCCAAACCACCCCAACTGATCGGCATATCATATGTTCCAGTCCCATGGAGCGTCTGGGTTATACAAGTATTTGTTTCCTGTTTTGAGGGTGATGGCCCCTTTTCTCCCCAGAAGGTTGCTCAGGTGATCCACTTTGACGACACGCAGGTGATCCACAACTCCGACGTGGAAAAACAAAGGGGTTCCCCTGAGGCCATCGGCTGGACCAAGTCTACATAAACCCTACCAGGGGCCCCACTTTTCCCTAGCAAAAAACATGGGTTTTGTATGTGAAAACATTTGTTTTTAGTGGTTTTGAGGGCCCCTGGTAGGGATCCAAGTACCTTCTCAGAAGGTACTTTTACCCTCCAAACCTACATCAGGGTGTCTCCGTCCTCACCTTACCCGAGGTTCGGTACGACCAAAAAACCCTAAAGAAAAAATACAAGTGAGCGTTTCGACCAAAACGAAGCAACGAACCCCGCGCGAAACACAAACCCAAAGGCGAACCAAACCCAACCGCGACGTGTCTGGGACTACCAGGACGGACTGCCGAGAGTTCCGGCCAGGGGGTGGGTTGGCAGTCCTTATGGCAGTCCCATGGAGCGTTGAAACACCACATCTCCCAGTACTCGAAGAGTAGGAGGATGTAGGAGGTGTTGTCGTGGTTGTAACCCCCACTGTGCCATCATTTGGATGGTTTTGGTCGTGCACCCCCCTGAAATTCAAGGTGGAAGTGGGACTTCGCCACGTGTTTGGTCTTCGGGACATGATCCAAGGGGCCATGCCATCCACATTATCATTGGCCCACGATTATGTAGCACTGAGTGCAGCACTGAATGCAGCACACCCTACGACTCCAGTCGCCCGGGCGTCCGAAGGTGAGGATCCAGTCATTCCTTCATTTCGCTACGACTGGAACTGCGGACCTCTCGGGGGCCCCGACTAACATCTTCGCCACCCTTCGCAGGTGCTTGACCTCGGGATGAGCTCCAGCACGGCGCGCTTCGGTGACGCAAACGGTTCGCCCAAACGAAGAGCTCCACGAGGAGCTCCACTCCCCGAACGAAAAAAGATGGAAATGGAGTTCGCCCTCACCAGGACCACGGAAATAGAGGGGCAAAGGCTCTCAATCTGGGATTGGTGGAAGGTGGCCGGGCGGCAAAACCTCCCACCGGAGGGTGGTTATTGGAAGGAACATACATATAAGGGGTGTCTAGAAACCATCCTTTCCGTGCTGCTGGTATAGGTCTAATTGGAACATGGTCATCCAAGGGGACATCCCATCCACTTCCATGATTCGTTTTTCGGGGAGTGCACATTGACCCCCAAAACCACAATGTGGGTCAATATTCCATGTGGAGAGTCTGCCGATGTTTTACATCTAACAACCAGGTCGCGTCCCTTTGCGACCACACTTAAAAACCACTCTGTAAACCACTGTATTTCAGAGCTTCTTCAAAACCTTCCAGATCTCCCAGCATCTGCTGAAGCAAGTTGCCCACGCTCGGAGCTGGCTTTTTTTGCCAATCAGCACGAAACAAGAAGCAATCCTTTTTTGTAGCCAAGCCTGAGCGTGCTCCGCAGCTGCAGAATCCCTGCAGCAGTGCCTCAAAAACATCATGCGGGTGCACACCCGAAGCAGCTTCGCCTGAAGCCTGAAAGCAAATCTCCATTCCACACACTCCATGAATAAATTGGAAAAACATGAAAAACACATTGACCAATGAAATCACCCCGATCTAGATAAGTATTCCATACATGGAATGTCTGGGATTGTTTTGGCAGGGTCTGTTCTCACGCTGTGCCGATGTTCGAGCTTGCTAGTTGGCACCCGCTCCGCATGGTGTGAGCAAAGTGATGCAGTCTACAGTTGATAGCAGCACAAGTCCTACTGTCTACTGATACGGGCAGTCTTCTGCACCAGTCACTGCACTATAGGATGCTGCTCATTGGACAGGAGAATGACCGTCATGATCCTCCCACAGGTGCACTTGGCGTTTTTTGAAATCCATGAACTTGCCTCACCTCAAGACAAGAAGCGAACACCTGCTTGAGAACAGCACAAGACCGGTGGTCCAAATTGCAAAATCTAAAAAAAACGTGAACGAAAGCCAAACCTTCCTGCTGAAGTCTTCTCAAACGTCCCAGACCTGGTCTGCTCACCCCCTTAACTTCCTGGAGGTGTGGGGGATGTTCCGGTCGCCCCTTCCACCAAATTCTCCGCACAACTCAGCAATCTTCGCGTTGTTTTGCTCGCTGTTTGGGGAAAGAGGGGTCCCACCCCTAACAACACGGGTCGGCCTGATATGAAACCATGGGTCAAGCCACCGCACCAAGCCGAAAGCATGTGGCACAACACAATGCGCCAAGAGAAAGGTGTTCCACCCCTTTCTCCTTGTCTCAGCTTGTCCGCAGGGGAATTGTCCACGGAGTTCGTCAGGATGATCCTGGTGATGATGGCACCTGCAACATCTGTAGAGCCATGTGGACTCTACCATGGGGCCCTCAAAACAATGAAAAACACCAACGGTTTTCAAATACAAAGACCATGTTTTTGTTGCTAGGGAAAACCTGGTTTTTGGATGGTGAACTGAGGGCCCTGGTAGTAGGCACCGTGCATGTCACAAGCCAGAAATGCTTTGTTGAAGGTTGAAGCTGTACGCAAACACATGTGCAAGGCAAACACAGCAAAGTGGTTCAACCTGAAGTAGTCTAAAGTTGTAGCTGAGGCAAATGAACACAGCTACTCAGCTACTACATGCTACTACATTTCCATGATACATTGAAACCGATGAACTTGTACAAGTAATTAGAGCAACAATAGAGCAACACCTTCCATTCCCAAGGTTTCTCCACATCAAATACGGGCTTCACCAGCCAACTCCACCCCAACAAAGCACCCAAAAAGGCCCTCAAATCCTTGGCGCCTCCCGCCATCTCACGCCCCAGATCCGTCGATGGATCTTAGGCTTCCAGCGTCAGATGTCGTCAGCCATTTTGGCCTTTGTCGCATGGCAAGGCTGGCATGAAAGAACTGCTGCAGTGTCCCTTTTCGTGGTTTTCCCTGTTACATCGATAGGGTTTCCACGTGATTGTGGAACAATCGAATCTTTAATCACCTCAAGAGAAACACCATCCAGGTCCAATTTGCGAGAGTCTCATCGCTGATGCTCAGAACTCAGGACCACGGCCGTGCGTACACAGCAACAAGCGTGCTTAGTGCGACATGCATTGACCATGTTTGACCTCACATCCGAGCGGTTCATAAGAGCAGGCAGCAGCTGGCATCTCCCAAAAGCAGGCAATGTCGGCGAACACTGAAGGAATCCAAGCAAACTACACTCCATGGGACTGCCATATATGCCGACCCATTGACCCCCCTGGCACCACCCATGGCAGTTTCTCGGCATATATATGCCAGTCCCATGGAGTCAAGCTGGGAAGAAAACTGTTTAATTGACGACTCGAACTACAACGAAGACAAACGGAGCCATGAGACAGGTCCGCTTGGGCATGCCCGAACTAGGGACTTCTATAGGGTCCTTCAACCTCTCTTGACTCCTGAGGAGAAGGTGGTTAGGGTGAGTGCCAGGGGGGTTTAACCAGCGAACATGAGATGGTTGGAGCCCTAGGGAATACGGAGGCCCTTCGTTCAAGCGTGGTCAGAGTGTCTCAGAACCAGCTTGGGGTGCTCTCAGTGTTAGCACCCCCCGGGCGGCATCCGTATTATCATGTCCATAGTCTTCATAAGATACATCCGTATTATCATCCGTATCATCCGCACTACATGACTCCATGGAATGTGCCTTCAGCATCTTCACAAAGGTCATGTAGTCTTCTGCCGCACCCAAGAGCTGTGCAAAGCGGCTCGCGCTGCTGGCAGGGCTGGGAGTCCTCGTTCGGACGGAGGCTTTCCATACATGCCTTGTTTGTTGAGTGACCTCTAATGTCGACACAGGATTGAGTAACCTCCTCCCCTTATATTCTTAATCAAACCCAGCTCGAGCCCCCAGTACTAAACTAATTTAATATAAAACCTGAATTCCACATGTCCATCACCCGAATAAACATATCCTGGCAGAAACCTCCCCGTGTTTAATCAAGCCCAGCTTCCCCAGAAGCTTAATGACGAAGCATACTGTACTATTGTATATATTATCCCTAAAAACTCCTAAAAATTCTCTCTAGCTCATGTTCCCTTATGGACATTTTAAGGTGTTCAAGCTCACAAAGGGTACCCCTTACACAGGCCTCACGGTTCACACGAAATCCTATCAACCATCATCAATCATCAGGTCAGCACCTTTATTCAGGGGATGTGGTCTCCAATACCTTCAATCTCAAACCTTGTTGATCTTGTTGACCTTGAAGGCTCCGAAGGCGCTCCCTGCTGAGCACCAGCTCAGAAGAGGCCTTGGTCTCCGTGAAGCCAAATAGCCCCTCCCAGCTGCTTCTCTGCAGCTGGGGGAACCAGCATACCGAGGTGCTCTCCCCTTGGGGGTCTTTGTCTTCAACTTACTTTTGGAGTGACCTTAGGTGGCAGGAAGTGTGCCAGGACCTCATACCCCACTTCCCAAAGGTAGGTAATTAGTCTTTGCAAAGTGCTTGGGACAAGTCAACTGTGTCCCTATTCAAACCACCAGCTGAGATGAGCATCTCCATCCAAGGCATGTTGTGCATGAGAAACACCGCCAAATCCTCCAACTCCAGTGCGCTCGCTTGCACCGCCTGGTCGGGAACTGGGGGTGAAGATCTTCCGTCTGAAAATGAACACTTGAAGATAGTTAAAGTCCCAACAGAGGTTGTTTGTGACCTGAACTAGGACCCGTACCTACAGGATAGCCTAGTTCGGGTTCTTCAACCTCTGCTGGTCTGCTTCATTTAAAGGGGTTTTCTTCTAACAGCAGCTGGGTCGAAACGACCTGCAGAGTCGACGTATCCAAGTAGTCCAAACACCCCCCTGTGACTGGCATATACATATTTGGGTGTGGCCAGAAACCCTGGTCTGCTGCAGCGATCCAAAGCCTATTCATAATGTATCAATCACATTGAGGTGGTTGAAAAAGGGGGCTCAATGGTGCGGGCTTTGCATATGGAGTGGGCATTTTCGGCCCGGACCGGTGCCTTTATAGCATGGTGAACTGAGTACAAACTGGGAAACAGAAACGGTTGGCTCTCAAACAGCTGACGTCTGGAATCCACAATACCATACAATACCCAAGCTCCAACTGCCATCTGACGCTCGAGGTTTTCTGGTCAGGGGTGGTGCCAGGGGATTTTAGGGGGTCAATGGGTCGGCAGTCCCAGACAGGTCGTGCCATGCGTCGTGTTGGGGATTGTCACACGACGGGTGACGCCTCTTCCACCAGTGTCTCGAAGAGTCCGCGAAACCTCGAGGGGTGCGCAGCCCATGCGCGAGGCGCAACATCTATATATATATATTAAATATATATATATGGTATATACTTAACCACTGTAACCACCGGATCTGCTGGGCCGACTTCCCGTAGACCGACCTGGGGTGCTTCGTCCCATCGGACGTGACAAAAGGGCATAGGGGTGCCCTTCCTCCGTTTGGAACCGGCACTGTCAGTGACTCCTGGTACTTCGTAGGTCGGAGTCGCAAAGGCTTCAGTTGGCCTTTGATGATCCCTGTGGTCTCCCAACAGAGGTTAAGTGACCTTACAAAACCCTACTGGAATACCTATAGGATAGCCTATAGGGTTCTTCAACCTCTGCTGGTCAAGGGTGGGATCACCTATGGAACTGATCGTCTGGCCATCCGTCGACCAGGCCAAAAGACACATACAAAACCTGGCAAATCGTGGAATCTGACCATGGTTTCGATGCAAAGTTGTGAAATAAATATATGGGTGCTCAACTTAGAGAAGAATGGACTTCTCCACCACGTCACACCCGGAAAAAAGACATGCTATCATGCTATATAACATCTTTGTGGACATCCAAGTAGCTCTTGATGTAGGAGGTACCATTCATGCCGATGCTCACGGTACTTCACCTGGACATGTCGATGTCTCCGTCGTCCGATGTCGATTCTCGAAGCAGGTCATTCGACCGCAGCTGCGGTCACGTATGATGTACACTCCGAATCACTCACGTGGAAGTGCAGCCCCCTCTTGGTAGAGAAACAACCTGTCTCTCCCAAAAGACAATGGCCCACTGCGATTATTCAAATACAGTGCGTAGTTGCTTACTTTTTATAAATATGTTTTTGATGATGCATCCGGAGGTGGTGTGCCTTCCCACAGATAAAACAGTTTCCTTCATCTTTTCTCACGGAAAAGCCGGAAAACCTACGAGTTTTACCGCATGTGAGAGAGGCGGGTGTCGCAAACCAAGAGCCAGAGGGTGTTCCTGGTTCAAAGCCAAGGTTGTCACTCTTTGATTTCGGACAAGCAGGTGGTTCTCTCCATGTCTGATGCTAGAATGGAAGCTTCCTCCCCTGCAAAGGACCAAATGCAACCCCAATCCCACTCGGTCTTTTTCTTCCGAACATGATCTTCGCCTGAATTCTCAGCTTCCAGGGGATCGTCGGGCCCACGGCGCCCCCGCCCTTCTGGCATGCCTGGAAGGAGGGGCGATGCTGGCAGATGAAGGCCTTCAAGGGCCTGCAGGACACGAGCAAACACGACCTCCATCGGAAACCATCAAACGGCGCAAGGTTATGCATGGCCAGGGGTGGTGGTGACAGGGGTTCTTTTCTGGGTCGACAAATGCCAGCACGGAAACCAACAGGTCTCCGAAATGGAGGCTTTTGTAGACCTAAAAGTCGCAGGTGGTGACCTGTTGGAAGGTCCTGGTATATATGGCAGTCCCATGGAGTGTGTGGGATGATCGACAAAAATCGCCCAGCCCAGCGAGGGCCTCACTGAGGCGTTGTGAACAAGCGTGGCGTTGCAATGCTTTCAGCGTGATCTGTTGCTGGCGCTAGCCGCTGTCCCATATTATCTAGACTCTGCTACTTTTCTGCAGCTGAACGAGCAAAGCGACTCCATCAACAGGTCCAAGTACCTCATGTCCAAGTTTTCAAGGAACCTGACGATGCCAGCAGGTAGCTCCACGGGCACCTACCCGGCTGCACGCAAAGCCATGATGATCTGCAAGTGCCCTATCTACGGTCCCACAGTCGTAGATAGGGTGTAGAAAGCTGTTCCTAGAAACGTCCTGTCTCTTACAGCTGGCATCAGCTAGCTTTAGGAAAGCTCATGGAGGCCCATGAAAAAAAAGGTCAATCTTGTGCAAAAATACCCACAAGTGCAGTGAAACAAACTCGATGTTCAAGTCGGCCCACCTGCGTTGTCACGATCCTCAGATGTGGCAGGAGAAGCACCAAAGAAAATCAACACGACATCAGCGTTGTCCTAAGACCCTTGTTGGAGTCATAATGATTAATGATACGATAGTCATGAAGTATTCAAACATAGTGATTTTATGCGTGAACTGTGGGTTTTTTCTTGGTTCTTCAACGTTTTCAACTGACAGCCTCGCCCCAGGTTGTCTTAATTGAGCAAAGCATCTTCGATCTAGCTTTCTGCTTCATAAGCTTTACAAAGTCTCCAAAGTCCTTGCGTCGGTTCGACACCGATTTTGGAACTCTGCTGACTCTGCTACCAGTGTTTGCCCAAATGGAAGTCAGAAAACAGCAGTTGGTCTCAAGTTGACTTCTGATGCCATCTACCTCAGCCGTGTCAGCTTCGACCACCTGCCTCGACGGACGGCAATCGTGCAAGGAAGGAATTCCATTGGGCTTCTTCTTCCCCACCCAGGTGCGTTGCATATCCTTAGGTGAGGCAGAAACACTGAGCACTGGGCGAGGCCAACAAGCAAAGCCTCTCCAGGAATTGACGGGTATGTCATATCAAGCCTGTGGATGTCTCTCAAAAGCTGTGTCAGCTTCTTCTCAGTCAGGGCCAGCTTCACAACCAAAAACATCAAGAACATCGAGCCCCGCAAACGCAAAAACGTAAAGACGCGAAAAACATATCACAATTACACACCTATATATATATATATATACTAAATAGTCCTAAATCAGGACCCTCCAACAGGTGGTTTTTGGACACCCCTTAAGCTCTAAGACTATTTATAGACACCTCATTCTTTTGATGTACGCACCCGGGGAAAAAACAACCATGAACATCACCAAGCTTGGGCGAGACCACAGGGCGAGCTGGGACATGCAAGTGCGCAAGCTCGTATCGCTGGGCCTCGCAGGGCCTCGAGCTCTTTTGGGGAAGAAGAAAGGACATGGCCACAGCTCAGAATTGGTGGAATAAGGGAACATTCACAGGACTATGCATCGTTGCGGGTGTGGTGGTCGCCATGGGTTTCCTGTAGATTTTAATGTAACCTTCAACCAATGAAAAACTACGGCAAGCTTCGGTTGGTGAGCATCGCGAACTCCTTCTGCCTCATCCCATGTGCTCGGATGAAAAGTGCCAGGTGCTTTTCAAACAGCAGCTGGTACCTCAGTGAAGAAAAACACATAGCATGGGTCTATCCCATCTACCAACGCTTCAGTGGATAATGATCTGCTGAAGGGTAAGTAGGACAAACCCAAAGGATGACTGGTACAATCTTGGAAATGCCACTCGTCCGTAGGGCTCCAAACATATCCTCAGATTCAGTGGTTAAACCCCCCTGGCACCCATCCTAACAACCCTAACCACCTTCTCCTCAGGAGGGGGTCAGGAGCCCTAAGGAATACATGAGGCAATCGGTGGCCAATCAGCTCCAAGGGAATTGATGGAGAAACATATGCAGTAATGTTTGGCGGGTCGCTATGCATTTCAGGAGTTTAGGTTGATTTATCAGGGTTCGATGTATTTTGTATCTGCCCAGACGCTCATGGGCCCTCATATGGAGGGGTCGGACCCTCATATGGAGGGGTCTGGGGTCTCAAATCCCTAGGGTTTTGAGGTACCAGTCGAGCTGTTAATGGAGCGTCTGGGTGGAGCCCTTTGGCTTAAGCATGCTTTCGGCTTCGAAGGTCGGAAGCACTGAAAAACCAACAGAATCCAACAAATAGAAGTGAACAGCCTGCTTCTGCCACCGGTTCGAACCGATAACCAAAGAGTGGCCGAACAAATCCCTGAATTCACGATAGGGCCTTAATTCATGAAGAGCGTTCATGTGCCTTTCATATCCTTTAATACCCATAGACTCCATGTATGCCATATATGCCTACATTGGGGTGGTTTGGGGGGCCAATGTAGGCTATATGGCATACATGGAGTCTATGGGATATGTTAATTAATGTTGTTGGTCCTTTTGCCGCAACTTGACACATGCTCCGGCACACGATCTCTCTCTCTCTCTCTCTCTTCCGGATGAACAAAAGTATACGATCGCTTTTCGGGCGGTGAAGGAGCGCTCCTTCCTCAAGGGCCTCACGTCCATCCCATCTATAGTGACGGACAAATACTTAGAACATCCGGCATGCTTTTTGTAACTTCCATTGTTTCAAACCCCAGGGCTCCAAGTACCTCCTCAGAAGGTATCTGGACCCTGGCACCCACCCTAGTCCCACCTTCCCAGAAGGTACGACTGGAGCACGAACGGGAAAGTGAGGTTCCAGACACTTCAAACAGTTCTTGGTACCTCAAAACCCTAGGGATTTGAGACCACAGACCGAGGGTCTGACCCCTCCATATGAGGGCCCAGGGTCGCGTCTGGGTTCTAAGTATCCGTCCGGATCTCCTGCCCCCGGCCGCTCTGTCCGGGTGAGTGGTTCCGACGAAGCTGGAACCGGGTGGGTGGCCAGTGGCTTCAAGCAAGTAAAAGTTGAACATATGGGTGTGTAAAATAGGGAGACCTCCCAAATGACCCCTTGGAAGAAGGAACATAGACCTAAAACTCCCATTGGTTGGGGGCCTCCCATTCCAATACACTTGCTAATATGATAAATCAACTTCTCATGCCCATCCCAGAATTTTGACCACCCACTGCTAGGTCGAGGAAACAGGTGGTGCCATCCACGTAACCATCCTGATGTGTTCGTCCGCCGCCATCGACCATTGGGTTTCCCGGACTCCTCGTGAAGCTGAGCCCAGTCCTCCTTGAGGCCGTCAGAGGCAAAGCGCCAGGCGTGCGAGGCATAGAACTGCTGGAGCTGCTGCTGAAAGGTGACCTAAATCTTGGGAGGTGAACCATTTAACCCGTTTGGGCTCCTGGCCGCCCCCTCCTGAGGAGAAGGGTGGTTAGGGTGGGTGCCAGGTGGGGGTTAACCCCGTTCTGAGGATATGGGCCAGGAGCCCTATAGGGCCCTAGGTAAACAAATCAGGATATAGTAGACATACGTGTGTTCGACGTCGTGGACCGTTGCATGTCATAAAATTCATCCCAAAAACATGATTGGAGAGTTGGACCATCCAAACATGGAAAGGCTTTATTCCCAGACTCCATGGGACTGCCATATATGCCTACATTGACCCCCAAAACCACCCCAATGTAGGCATATTATATGGCAGTCCCATGGAGTGTCTGGGATTTATCAAAACCCTGGAAGGTCGTCAGAGGGAGTCTCAACACGTATTCAGTCACGGACTACACGGGGCGTGGATGGGTTGGATTGAGCCCGGCTACCAAAGAATACACCCGGATATCATGGGGAGACAGATTCATTCGCCCAGCAAATTCAACTATAATATACTATCACTCGCTGCATTCATCCAGGGATGATGATTAATCTGCAGTATACTACTGCACGACGCCCTCAAACCAGCAGTTCCATGTCGGGGAGCTATCCATGGAAGTTGAGGGTGCCCCTGTCACATCCACAGCCCCTGGCTGGGACGAGCCAAACCACCCTGGCCTCCATGTGACTCCAACCAAGTGCACCAACACCAAGTGAACCTTCAATTCTTTCGTTTGTACCGTCCGACCCGACGCAGTCTGAAGATAGATTCCACCCAGACGCTCCAAACAAACCCTTGGTCCCTCAAAACCTAGGGGTTTGACACCAAAAAGATGAGGGTCCGACCCCTCCAGTGCGGATTCGGGGCCGGGTCCCGGGTCGCGTCTGGGCACAAGACCTTGGAATCCAACTGAAAGCTCCATCCGGTCGGTGGCAGGTCCAAGCATCTTCCTCGAAGCATTCCAACAGCTTTTCACCTGGACGAAACCGGAGCTCTTGGAGAAACGGGTGAGACGGCCCGGCTGGTCCCATGAATCGACACATGTTCCACCCAAACAATGGCTGTGGCTGGAGTCGAAAGAAAGACAACATATCCCAACACATCCCAAACGACTCGGGGGGGTCGGTCTGGTGAGTGAAGAAGCGTTATGTGAGTGGGAAATTCACATCCGCTCAGCTGAATCACAAGGTGGGTTCGGGTCTTCAATTCGCGTCCGTGAACACTGAAATGTCCAGAATCAGCTGCATCAAACCGGCTAGTAGGGCGAAGTGTATGTCTCCTGACTCTGACTTCTTCCATGACTTCCTCAGGTTTACAGGAACAACTCTGACACTGTGCGTCACTTGCAAGGGCTTGGGGAACTCCCTGTCCTTGGCTCCCTGTCAAATGGGGAATATGGATACTTCCTGCTCCTTGGCCCCCTCCTGAGCACCAGCTATATATTAATATATAATATATATTGTTGTAGGGAAGCTGCATCCGCTGGGGGGTTGTCGTTCACCCTGATGTCCAGATCCTTCTGAGTCGGCTGCATCCTCTGCAGTTCATCCGGAGAACAAAACACTATGAACATCACAAAACGATATGCTCGGGTCACATGGCACGGCATGCACGGTCATCCGGAAAGAACACTCGGAAGTGGAACAGCATCTTCGTTTTGTTCAAGCGGCACCCTTGCTAGGCAATCTGCCTGATGCATGTGAAGCCTGTTTTTGGTATTGGCATATCGCCTGTTGTAGTGGCGCACCGGGTCAAGATGCATCACTTCATCCCGTTGATCTTCCGATGTTGGGCAATGCAGTCCCATTCCTTCACCCTGGCATCCAAAAGCATCCCATTCCGGATCCACTGCCCCCCTCCGATCACCCTCTCAGAGGGCAATGCAGACTCGAGTCTTGATGAAAACAAGAAACACTATATGAAGTGGGTGTTAAGAAACAATCCATGTCTGCTGGGGTCTCCTATTGATCACAAGTCTACATTATTAGGATGCATTGATCGCATCTCTCATCCCAACTCGTGTCCTGCTTCCCTTCGGCTCCAAGCGTCGGTTCCGGATGGACTGGAGGAAGGACATGGACTGTCAGCACCATGCAGGGCACCGAGGATTGAGGCGTCACAAGATGAGAAGCCATGTGGCCACCGTGACCCATTCCGACAAGGGGAGTGTGGCAGCTTGCGGGAGCGGCTTCGGCATCTGCGGCTTGAAGTGCTTTTTTGGTTCGGCCCCGGTGCTTGGAAGACCTTGAAGGAAAACAACAAATCACTGGGAAGTGGATGCTGGCCATGTGCCAAGTGCTGCCCACGTACCAAGTGCAGCCCAGCGCGTAGCACCTGTAGGAGAACTTCTTAAAATCTTGAGCCGACATGGAAGCAAACATGCCAGCACCTTCAAAGAGGTCCCCAATGGAAGCCCCTACCACCAATAAGGGGCCTTCATTGGACATCCCTTTAAGGTCCAGGTGCAATTCACCATAGATACACCTTGGAAGCCTTCCAAAATCCCAAGATCTGATTGTGGCAAGTGCTCATCATGGCATGTGCGGGGCAAAGTCTCTCAAGAGCCTGGAAAATAGCCAAATTCCACAAAGCATACAGTTGCTTGCTGATCGATTTGTTGACACCTGTCTATCACATGAGTGAAGCAACCCTATAGACGCACCCCCTTTCGATTTGAGCCCCGATGTGCTCCTTTTGAAGGCGGCTGCGCATCCGGAGACCGTACTCACCTTCCTGCAAACTCTCTAGCTTTGAGCCTTTTCCTGACTCGACCATTCAAATAGTTGTTCACTGACCTGGCGTTCGAGTCTTCATTAAGTAAATACTTACAAAAACAAAAACAGTGTCCTTCGGGATTCAACCCCTGAAATCCGTGGTGCTTGGAATCCTGACAGTGCCTGACAGGACCAACTTCCCATCTCCGCGGAGACCCGCGGAGATCCGCGTCCTCCGTCCGGGCGGTTGGCGTCCCGGCACGATCCTTGGCACCCTTGATGTCGGGCCGTCCCAGCAGCACTTCGCGCGCCTGGCAGGTGAAGAGCTGCGGTCCTTCAGAGGGGTGACTGAGCTGGCCCATTTTGGGTGAAGGGTGAAAGAGCGGCTGGAGGTGTCTTTGAAGTGTGTGTGTGTGTGTTGTGTGCAATGTGGTGTAGTTTGAGTTCTGCCCTTTTCCTGGCTGGGAGGGGGCTTGATGTTCGCCTTGCACCTGGTATATATGAAGAAGATTGGAGAAGGTTGCTGCTGGGGAACCTGCGGTTCCATTGCCAGAGGCGCAGGCTCTACCCCCCCAATCTGCAGAAAACAGTGATCAGCTAAGGCGTCGCTGGCGTCACTGGACATCAACAACTGCCCGAAGCAGGTCTACTAAGTCTATTGTTCCCCCCAAACAATTACATGTCATGGATAATATCTATCTACCTGACCCTTACAGGCCCTTACAGGTCTTATCTTCCAAACCAGCTACATAATTAATCTAATCAAAACACAATAGATAGATGTGGATTTGTCATGATTTATACCGTGGTTTCAGAGGTTCGATGGCACAATCACCTAAGCTCGGTGGTTGAAAATTGGATCCCCATCTGTCTAAGACATCTTTGTTCGGTGCCAGTGCCATGTCTCACCTCTGAAACCACTGTATCTAACCCTATAGGGCTCCAACCATATCATCAGAAGGTGGTTAACCCCTCCAAACCCATTCTCAGGAGCTAGTTCGAGCCCTAGGGTATCGTCTAAGGTCACCCCTTGGTCACCCCAAAGTAACCGTGCCGCGCCTCCGATTGCATTGATCGGAAGGAGTCCGCGCGTTCCTTCAAGGCCTGTGTTTCAGGTGGAATCGGATGGACGATCCGCGGGTTCGACAGTCAAGATCTGAATGCCATACCGTCTGCGAAATCCATAACCCTAGGGATCCAAGTACCTTCTCAGAAGGTGTTTGGGGTGGGTTTGGAGGATCCCTAGGGTAAGAAATCCTACCATCCTCCCAAAAGACCCCTTGCAAATGTCTGACATGACGTGCTTGTTTGATCTTGCTTGTAATGTTTGGTTGATGTTTCTGCTCTGTCATGTCATGGACGTCACCTCTTAGTAACTGGCTACGAGATGCTACGAGTTCCTCTGCTTCACCCTCAAGAGTGAGGGACTTCAGAACCTCCTGGGAGTCCCAGCAACTTACCCTAGGGCTCCAACCATATCATCAGAAGGTGGTTATCCCCTCCAAACCCATTCTCAGGAGCTAGTTGGAGCCCTAGGGTTAGTAATTAGCATGAAGCCTTGTTGAACACCTCATGAAGCCGCTCCACTCCCTGAAATCATCATCACCGCGGTCCGCCCTTCGGGTCGCGGTCTGCCGGAAGATCCCGGTCGGCCCCGTGGTGGTCGTTGCGTCGTCTGAAGCAAAACCGAAGCCCTACGGTGGGCATAGGGCTCCAGTCACTCCAGTCCTACCTTCTGAAGGTGGAACTAGGGTGGGTGCCAGGAGGCTGCCAGGAGGGTCCAGTCATACCTTCGTTTCAGAGCTACGACTTGGAGCCCGACAACCCCAAACCACCCACGGCGACGATCCGGTTGGGCCGCCGAGACCGGCGTCCGGGTCTGGGTCGACATGAGACTGGCTGGGACGGACTGGCTGGGCGAACCTCACATGCCGTTACCTGGCTGCACGCATTCAATACACTTGCCTGGCACGAGCCAGCCCCGGAATTCATGTGCTTATAACCTGCACATTTACAAGTGAGCACACTCTTGTTAGACAAGTTCTTTTCCAGCATCTCTTGTATATACCCTGGTCAGTAATCATCTTTCAACCCTTCTGCTAGGGGTGCTCAAACCAAAATCACAGCCCCATCAAGCCGGCCTCACTGAGAGCCAACTCTGGCAAGAAGGCAAATCTGACGCGTGCGCAAGAAGGCAAGGGACTTTGGCCAGTTCCAGTGAATTTGCAGTGACCCGCGATTCCGTTGATCATTGCTAAGGCGGCTATGGAAAGGTGGTTGTCCCAAGAAGCGTGGCAAAGGGTTTTTAGTGCAACTGTTTGCACAAGAATCCTAAGAATAGGAAAAATGGTCTTGACCCCAGGCAGCACTTTGATTTACTGTAGCTTCATGGCCGTCAAGCACAGCTTTGGGCACGAAGATTAGTTGTGCCCTCTCTCTCTCTCTCGATATATATATATATAGATATCCCAAACCATCCATACATATGGAATAGTTATACATTAGAACATAAATGTGGTATATAAATGTATGTATGTAACCATTCCCTACTACATGGATGTGTTGTTATGTATGCAGTATGCATGCACATGTCAGGCCAATTTTGTCAGGTTAAATGTGGTTGCTCCTGGCTCCTGCTCTAGCAGGCCGTCTGTCGTGGCAAAAGCAACACTATCTTGAGGGAAAAAAGAGTCGGCTGTTCCCAGAAAGGGCATGATGGCTGACGTGCGCTTCTTTCTACCCAACTATGAACTGTCCTCAACATCTTGTCCGAACTTGGTTGTCTGAGAATGTCAAGTTCGGATTCAATTAGTGTAACACTTTGACTCACTAAGACATACAAGTGCAATAAACATGTGGGAAGACTGTCTTCCCTGCGCTCATTTACATCCCATCTGCTCCCCAGCAGGACGCCCCAACCCAACAATGATATATGAGGACATGCAAAGAGGGGTGATCTTTGGGACAAGCCATGATGATTCACCAGTGGTGCTCCACAAGCCAGGAAACGTGTTCCTCAAAGGGGATTCACTCGTAAGGACCATGATGCTTCTCAGGTGCGGCATTCTGCATGATTCTGCCGGGTTGCTTCGTGGGTGCCCCGAGCCTCTTGGCTTCAACAGCCTCAGCTGTCTTATCTGCCTCTGCCTCGGGAAGAAGAAGTGGAATGGTCCCAATCACACGGAATGAGGAAGATATAGATATAATATATATATAATTATATATATATCTATATTTAGTGTATAAATATACAGTAGTATAATATACATATATATATATATACATAGAGAGAGAGAGAGTTTGGGAGCCAAAACAAGGTCTTTTCCTATCAAAACAAAGGTCAATGGGTTCTAGGTCCAGGTATATCTTTCTATCCATCTATCTATCTATCTATCGATCTATATATCTATTTATTTTAATACATAGATCTATAGATATAATCTATATTATATATATTTATATTATCAATCAATCTATGTTGTTTATATTTATCTATTTATCTATCTATCTATCTATATCTATATCTATATCTATGTATATTTATTTTTTAAATCTATCTATATTATCGATGTGTATGGAGTATGATTTACCTACATTGACCCCTCAAACCACCCCATTATGCAGGTAGACATGCCAGTCCCACTCCCATGGAGTGTCTGGGTGATGAAACAATGAAACTCCGATCATTCTGAGGTCTGGATCCTCTCCTGCTCACTCTCTCGAGCTGGAGGTTGTCTGTTCAAATGCTTCGCGCAGACATGAATCCCCTCCCTCCCAAGCAAGAACACTGTACTGTAGACTTGTTCAGACTTCGTGTGGAATCTTTATCCCCAAACTATCACAGAGGTTCTATCTTTCTAGACTTGTTCAGACTTCGTTTGCGGTAAAGGAGAACTTCCAATCACCAACGCAGCGTCATGGGACTGACATGTCATGTGAATCATGGGGTTGAGTCAGCGGGGCGGCATCTTTCCAAGAGAGGTATCCAGTGACCTAAACTCGGACCCGGAAGATATGGGTAGTCGAACCTAGGGTGCTTCAACCTCTGTTGGTTGCCCAGTCGCATCGCTTCGCGTTTGGGAGACTTCCGGGGTCGGAAGTCTCTCATCACGCACCGAGGCGAGCGCAGATCCGCGGATCGATCCGCGATCGATCCGGGGTTTGGATGACGGTGTTGGACTCAGACTTCAGTGGAGCATAGCAAAACCCAGAAAAAACAACACAGGAGTCACCAACTGTCATAGAGCTCGGGGTGGTGTTGAGTCCCTATGTGAGTGGCACCCCCCCAACCTCCGTGGATAGCACGTGCTATCCATGGAACTGCTGGACATGAGATTCTTCTTCAGACGAGCGGAGATGCGGTCCAATGTGTTTGTGGATCCAAAAGAGGTTGAATGACCCTATAGACTATCTCAGTCCTATAAGGTCACTTGTGACCCAGCGTTGTTTGATTCT